AGCCTTTACGTTTCACCTACACGTCTGTGCAGTAACTGGGTTAGAGCCACGTGCAAGGTTCCTTGACAGGAAAACCAGTTCATAGCATTTTTAAAACCTAAAAAAGCCTAAGCTTTTGTAGCGTTTCATTTCCGGTCTGTATCTTCTAAAATTTCAGATTTTACTTAATTATTTTATGCTAATGGATGTTTTGCCTGCTTGTAGGTCTGTGCATCACGAGTGTGCCTGGTGCCCACAGAGGCCAGAAGAGGGCATCATTATATCCTCTGAAATAGGAGTTACAGATGGTTGTGAACAGAGAACTTAACCACTGTGCCATCCTTTCCAGTCTCTCCTTTGTTATTAAATGCTAAGAGGTTTTGTGGGGGAATGCTTCCCTGGACATGAAAGGCTACTTTGTCGCCAAGGCCTAAGGGTCACTGGCTGCTTTCTCCACTCGTCTTTTAGTGGGGTTTTAAGTACGATATTGAAGTGTGACCCTTGACTTTTCAAGCAAACTAAACAACACATCTGGTAGATTAGTCAATGTACATACACTGCACCTGGTAAACAGCCATGGCTTCTGGCTTATAAATTATTTTAAAGTCTGCACACTGTTGGTACCATAAGAGTATAATTAGTACTCATTAACACATGAGGTATATTTCCTGTCAGATCAACTAAATTCTGGAAATTTTTTTGAAACTGATAGGGTTGTAAAATTTGTTACAAAAGCTGTTGAAATGGAATCTGAGCAATGAGTGTATTACAAAGTACATAAGAAATCTTCATGAAGACTGATTGTTTATACTTTTCTGTTTGTAATTATGCTTCATTTACTATGCATATATGTAGTATTTGTGCACAACTGTATTTATGGTATGTATACAAGTTATATTCTATTAGAAATAATTATTATAGTATGGACATTGCTAACCTTGGTCATTGCCGCTCACTGCTGACACTTGTCAATTAAAATTTAAGTTAAATCCAAATTACGTGTAAGAAGACATTAATTGCATGCCAGAGTATATTGCTGTACTGTATCTCTCTTTAAAAAAAAACTAAAGGCATTTATTTATTCATTCATTTATCATGTGTGTGAATCTGCTTGAGTTTATGAGCACTACATGAAGGCAAGAACCCCCAGAGACTCTGAAGAGGGTGTCATATTTCCTGGAACCACAGTTACTGGGAATTGTGAGCCATTGTGTAGGGAGCTGGGAAACCAGCTGGTGTCTCTGTAAGAGCAGAACAAATTAAGTGCTCTTGACTGCTGAGTCATCTGTCATCTCTGTGTGTGTGCATATGTGTGTGTATAGGGTCGTTTTCATTTCTATTGTGGGAAAACATTTGGCGTCTTCTTCAGTGTCTTTCCACCTTAGCTTTTGAGACTCACTGAATGTGAGCTCTCTGTTTTCTCTGGGGATTTTCCTATCTCTTGGGACCAGGTGCTGGAGTATGAGTCCAGCCACCCATGTGGCTTTTGTGCATGTGTTTCTAACTCAGGGCCTCCTGCTTGTTCAGCCATCACTTTACCAACTGTGCCACGTCTCCAGCCCCCTTTTAGGTTCTGAGTTTGTATAATGGTCCTTAAGCTGATGGGGGTTGACAGGCTTTTAAATTCTTGGCTTTGTGAATATTGAGCTAGTAAAAAAACTTAATTTTCTTTGTATCTCAGGAGGGATATGTGTAATTAGGGAAAAAAGCAGAACAATTTTTTTTTAGATAAACTGATGCAATTTGTAACAGTGTAACATGAATTTAATAAAAACAGCTTCTCTTCTCATTCTACCAGTGTTTACTTTTGCATTGACCCCCATTGATGAAACCTGCCCAGAAATTATTGGTGTATCAGATTATTAATGTTATATGGAACATCCTAGACTTCAAATCAATCCTAACTCAAAGTATTATCTGTTTTGGATATTTTAATCACTTTTATCTCCAAGTGCAGTTTCCATGTATATTTGCTTATAGCAAATTCTAAAGATGAATTTTGTCCCTCTAATAACCACAGTGAGTTTGGGATTCTTGTGCTTCCGTGGTTCCTTGAATTAAACCGAAAATCTTAGAAGAGAAATGAAGCAGATGAAAATTTGACCTGCTTTCCATCTAAGGTATAGATAGCTATCTCAGATTATTTACACTTTCAATTTTGATCTCTTTCCCCATTTTTAAATAGTGGCTCTATATTAATACTTGACCCCCCTCCTTAAGTGGGCATTGAGCCTACATTTCATATGCAATTTCTCTACCTGTGCAGGCATGTCACTGAACTTGAGAGTGTCCGTTTGCATGCCACTTGACTTGGTCTCCACTGAAGTGCTCCTCTGTGGTTTGGTTTTTCGTCCTCCCTACCAAGCAATCAATGATGTGTAATTGCACTGTGCCAGGACTTAAGGTAGCTTTCACTAAAAACCCTGATGCTTAGTAAAATGTTTTACAAATGAATGTCACTGCCAAGTGACCAGTTTCTTTTTATGTTTGGTTATATATTGTTTATTTCAGAAATCTCACTTAGCTCAAAGGCCATAAACAATCTGTTTGAAGGAAAGAGAGTCTACTTAGTTTAAAGGTGCTGACAGGGCTCCTGTAAGTGGGTGCTGTGGTATAACTGGTCTCCACAGTTTTACTGGAGCAGGTGCAGAAAGCCACTCCTGGTACAAGCTTGGTACTCTTTGAGTTTTGCGCTGCACCTTCCTGCTGTACAACAGGGAACTGCTTGCCAAGCAGATGTAAATAGAGTATTCTTTAGGAGTTTTCTGTTTTCAGATTTGAATTGTGGGACTTGACCTGCAAACTCTGAGAGTGATATGTCAGGGCACTTCCAGGAAGAGTTAGGTTATGTAATGTTGTCATGTCTAAACTTGAGCATGCTGCCTTAACCTCAGTGTTGGCTGTAGGTAGGGGTGTGTGTGTGTGTGTGTGCGCGCGCGCGCGCGTGCGTTCGTGCGTGCGTGCGTTCTCATGGTTGATTTACTGCTTTTCGTGTCCCAATTGAAATTCACAAAGAGGTTTGGGGCATATTGACTTTCTAGTATGCAAGAAGCTCTGAGTTCAATTCTGGACACTAGAAAACAAACACAAACCACTTTGTTAGACAGATGATTCTTATCTAATTTCAGAAAATAACCTATAGGCATTTCTGTCTGAGTAAAAGTAGAGCAGTTTCCAATTCACAGAGAAATTTCTAGAAAATATTAGCTGAATTTTTGTTTGGTTTTTGAAAGAGGGGCCTCTTTCTGTAGCCTCTACTTACCTAGAACTTACTGTGTAGTCCCTAGGCTGGTCTCAGCCTCTGGGTCCCACAGCCCCAGCTTCCTGAGTGTTACAGGTATGTGCTACCACCCATGCTTTAACATTTTAACCCAGTTCTAGAACTCTTTATCAAGACAGTAGAGAAAGTTACCCTATGACCAACAGTAAGGACATTGTGAGGATGTGACTGTACTATGGTTATAATCTTGTACATACGTTTGGAAAAGAGTTACATTTTCTGAGCACTGGATTGCTGTTTTATAAACTGAAAACAGTAGTATAAAGAGTAGTATTCAAGGAGGACATTAGCACAATCATAGTAGCATATTTTGTTGTCTTAGAAAGTTCCCTCCATGTCCCTTATCTTCTGCCCCTTCTCCATGTCCAGCTCCTGACAGCCTCAGCCCCTTCCTTTCCCTGGAGATGTGCTATTTCTACCATATTATAAATGGAATCACATAGTGGTTAGCCCTGTCAGCTAGCCTCCTTAGGATAATGGGTTTGAAATTCATAAATGTTGTTGCTTATCATTGAAGTCAACTCCTTTTTATTGGTGAGTAGTTTCCTATTGTACTGATGAAGCCTGTTGTTTTGTTTTATCTGTTCACCAGGTGAGGGATATTTGGCATCTTTCTAGTTTTTGTCAGTAAGAAATGAGTAACAAATTTCCATTTACAAGTGTTTCATTCCTCTTAGGTAAATACCTAGAAGTGGGGCTACGGGGTCCTATGTAAAGACTGCAGGCTCTTCTGTTGATTTGCTGAAACAGATTATTTCTTCTTTAATTTCTGAACATTCTGGTGGTGGGATTAGGCAAAAGCAAGTTTTCTTTGCTATGCCCAGCCATCTCCACTGATTCCCAGTGGATGCCCAAGGCCATGGGTTCTCCTGGTGACCTGGTGGCTAAGCAGTGTCAGATGGATGGTCAGGCTAGGTGCACGGATGGGTCACAGACTTGAGTGGGACAGGGTAAGATTATGTGTAGTTTAAAACTCAGGAACTGTCTATTTTTGCAATTTCCCGTTTTATGCATTTTGTTTGGATCACTGGTAATCAAGGAACTGTTTCAGGTGGTCTGATCCTCAGTAGAAGACTGTAGTCACAGAATTAGAGGAGTGATCTTGTTGTCTACTGTCAGGATGTGTCCCTTGATGGAAAACCATTGTCCTTAAGAGCATAGTTACAGATGAAGGCACGTGCTGTTTCAGTGACTGCCCTAACAGGAGGGCCTGTCTGCCTTCCTCTCTGAGCTGCGCTTGCCCCACAGATGCCGACTTGCTCATAGCTTTCACTGATCTGTGAGC